AAGATTGCACAAAGGAGGTATAGCTCATCTTCCTAAATAGATCTAAGTTTTTCTTGAGCTTGCTTGTGTTCCTTTGTAAGAATCTTTTTCTACTTAGTGGATTGTCTGGTCGGTTGATGACCCCCAGTTTTTTCCAATGGTGGGTTTCTGAGTGAATAGTTTCTGGTTTCCATCTCTATAAATTTTCTGAGTTTGTGTTCTTGATAATTGACTAGTCATCTGGGTTTGTGCGGTTGACTAGTCATCTTTTTCTGCTGTTTAGTGTTTGCTTGATTATGCTGTCTTCACACACTCTCACCAAAGTTGTTGCTAGCACAGGGGATGCCTAGATTGACTGGTCCTTCTAAGTGCCTAGGTTGTCACTAGTAATTCTCTAGGCTTGTAGGTTCATCTTGGTATGCTATATGTATGTTATTGTTTGGCATAATTCATATCTGACAGTTGACTAGTCATAAGAGTATGAGTATTTGGTCAAGGTCTAGAGTGTGTGAAGTTTGCTGCATTCTTGGTTGAATATCTTTTAAATTTACCCCTCGTCACCTAAGTACCAACTTCAATTGGTATCAGAGCACCAGCTCTTAACATAAATAGAGAGATCCTTTGGGTGCTAATTGGTATTAGGTTTGTAAATATAAAAATGGATCAAATTGCTCTTTGCATTCATGATGAGCTTGCCTTGTTTGTTAAGAAATATAGGAAGGTTATCAAAGATAAAACCAAAGTCACTAGGACTTGTCAAAATCTTCCTAGTCCAGACATTGACAACTCTTAGCACTGATAGGAGCATATTTATGCGACTTTGCTATCTTATTTCTTTGCATTTACTTAGTTAATTCCCATTTATTAGAGTGATTTAGCTTATTTTCGTACTATTGTAGGTCCAAATGGCAAGATTGGCAAGAAAGGGCATTTTGGAGCATTTTAGAGCAGTTTTGGACTTGGAATGGATAGCATATGCATGGGCCAAGATGGATGGACGTTTTTGAAGTTCGAATAGGCTAGGAATGTGCTAAAAAGATGGGGAAATTAATTCAAGAATCAGCTTCTGGGAAGTAAAAACCCTAACTGATTTTATTTTATTTTACCTTATCCTAATCCTATTCGACCTAAATTCCAGCTGGAAAAGGGGGGGATTAATTTCATATTAGGAAACCTAAAAACCCTAATTTCGTGGGTTTCTATTGGGCCCTATAATGCCTAAAGAAATCTGCCAAATAAAACCCTAATTTCGTGGGTTTCTGCTGGGCCCTTTTACCCTAGATCTACCACATATATAAAGGAGGGGTTGCCGCAGGAGAAGGGAGTTCTTTTGGTGCCGTAGCAAGAAAGGAGAAAGGGAGAAGAAGAACTTGGTGCCGGAACCTGCTGCATCCATTGGGTTTTTCAGAGTTCTTCCCTTGATTAGTTCAAATGTTTATTCTAGATTGCTTTTCAATTATTATGAACATGTGTAACTGAATTTCTTCTTAGTTAGAGGTGAATTCGAAGCCATGGACATATGTTTTACATGAATTGATTACTTCCAGTTATGGTTTCATAAAGTATGAATGTGATTTACTTTTCTGTTTTATTGAGGACTTATTCTTGCATGTTTATTAAGGATGCATACTTAGTTTGTATGCAGGGATTTGATGCTAGAATATAAGGGAATTTCACCTAATCGTTATGAACTTATATTCACAAGTAGTAAAAGTCACTAGTCATGATTGCGTTAAGTAAATTCTTGGCAGGAGTATCATGCTTTTCATAGTTACAAATGCCTTGTCAAGGCTTATGATTTTCATAGAACTTAATGATCTTTGATATGTATCTCTATCATGCTGTTCATATAAGGAACTTGATAAGGATAATTTGATTGCGTCGCTGAGTCCAATTCAATGAACTTAGGAAAATCTGAGAGTTAATTAGTGCATTCACAACTATTTTGGGGCTTTGTCATTCATACTTTATAGAAAGAGTAACTGGAGATCGATTTGTGTGCATATGTTCCATGTGTGGAGAAGAATCCTCTAGCTATCCCTTAATCCATATTTCATTCACAACTTAGTTGTTTGCTGCTGTCAGTTTTACTTTATTCTAAATCATCCAATTTCCCCCCAATCATTGTTCCCTTAACTTAGTTTCCAATTTAATAAGTCGAATTTGTGTTGATTAGCATCCCTCCTAATCCCCGGAATAGAACGATCCCTACTTACTCGTACTACGATTGCATAAATTATAGGGTTTAATTTGTGCGTTAGTTATTTCCCACGCCAAATTTTGGCGCCGTTGCCGAGGATTAGCAAAATTGCTAATCTTCCGTTTGTTTTCGTTTTTCTTGTGGTTCTGATTTTGTTTTGTTTTGTTTTCTTTGTTTTAGGTACTAGTTTATGACTCGAAGGTCACACCCTGTTCGTGCAAACAATCAAGGAACTTTCAGCCTCAGGATTGGACACTGCAGTCCCTTTTTGCATTCAATACCCTGGGGCAGCTGCAGGTAAGACCGATGAGTTTGAATTGAAGTCGAGTTTGCTACATCACATTCCCAAATACCATGGGTTGTCCATGGAAGATCCAAACAAGCATTTGAAGGAATTTGAAGTAGTATGTTCAAGTATGACACCCATTAACGTGGATGGAAATATTTTGAAGATGAAAGCCTTCCCATTCTCTCTTATGGAGAAGGTTAAAGATTGGCTCTATGAACTAGCACCTGGAACCGTTACTTCTTGGGAAAGTATGAAGAAATCATTCTTAGAGAAATTCTTCCCAACTTCAAGAGTCATTCTTTTGAGGAAGAAAATTAGTGGAATTCAATAAGGCTCGGGAGAATCCTTTCCAAGGTACTATGAGCGTTTTAAGACGTTAGTTGCATCTTGCCCAAGGAAGAGCTTTTAATTCAATATTTCTATGAAGGACTACTTCCACTGGAGAGACAAATGCTTGATGCTTCAGCGGGAGGTGCTTTGGTTGACAAAACACCAATTGCTGCGAAGATCTTAATAGCAAACCGAGCTTTATCAAATGAAGGAAAAGCTTTTAATTCAATATTTCTATGAAGGACTACTTCCACTGGAGAGACAAATGCTTGATGCTTCAGCGGGAGGAGCTTTGGTTGACAAAACACCAGTTGCTGCGAAGATCTTAATAGCAAACCGAGCTTTGAATGCACAACAATACGAAGGAGTTGGAGGGAGAGATCATACACGGCCAAGTCCAGTTAATGAGGTAAGTGCTATTTCGGAACTTCAATCTCAAATGGCTAATCTCTCTACTCTTATTTTGCAGGTTGTTGAAGGATCCAAAGTACAAAGTACAGACACTTGTAGCGTGTGCTCTATGCATGGACACCCCACTAATCAATGTCCTCAATTAATAGAGAATGGGGGATGGGAAAGTGCCAATGCCATAGGTTATCAAGGCCAAAATCAACCTAGGTATGACCCGTTTTCAAAGACCTACAATCCGGGCTGGAGAGATCATCCAAATTTGCTGGTAAAATATGGTGTTTTTAGAAAATAAGTCTATTTACTCAACAAATTACAATGAAGATGTTGTGTTCTCAGATACACTATAACTTACCGGTGAATATTATTTTGGAGACTTTATGATACAATTTTGGCTTAATAAATATAATTTCACTTGTTGTTACATTCTATTCTCACCAACTGGATTTATGAATTTTTTATATTAATTTGGTGAACTTATTAGGTGAATTTATCTTCTGTAGGAATTTGGAAAGCCAAAAGATAAAGACATACATTTGTCCAAGTTCAAGCTAGGTGTGAAGAGAATTGCTGGCGGATTTTATTGAAGAATTGATTGTGGGATTATTGTGATTATAAAGAGAAGTAAAAAGGGAGAAGAGAAGACAAAACTGTTGAAGCTTAAGAGCCGATTTCATGTCATTCATAGCCATTTAACGCCCACTTACCTCACCGTTATTTCTTTTCCACTAACTCTCCACCATCAACATGTTTAATCCAATTAATACCTCAGTTAAACCCTTCATCACCCACCACGAATGTATTAACTTCCCACTCACCTCATTGACTACTATAAATCACCCATCAACTTATTTGGCAAGGGCACCCCTAGAACTCTAGCTAAGGCTAAAGGGAATGTTCTTTGAGTAAGTTTGTGAATTGTTCTTTAATCCAATATACGGTACGAATTGCTAAATTCTTTTATTTATGGTTGTTCAATATTTTCATATCCTTTTATTTTGATTGATGTTAAGTGCTATTATCTTTTCATGAGTTCAATTATAATTTTCTCATTGTTAAGAACTGACTTAGCATACTTTTAAATTAAAAGATGGACAGAAGTCAGATAAAAGAAAGGACCAATACAAAAATTCACACAGCAAGTAAAAGGGTCTCACCCCTTCTTCAGGCTCCTTTCCCTTCTTTTTTAGAGGGACATCTTCTTCTTCTTGTTGTCCCTTCTCGTGCTCAACAGCTTCGAAAGCCTCTCGCAGCTCATTATCAGTTTCAAAAGTCTCACTTGGAACAACTGCAGGTTCTTCTGTCTCATCAGATTAAACTCCAGTCCTCTTTCTAAGCCTTTTTGACCTGGTAGGAGGAGGAGGACTTTTAGCTGCATAGAATAGGGGAATGGAGGTTAGAAAAAGGGCAAAACAGAACAAATTCAAGGATACGGTTGGAAATGTCAAAATCTTACCAAAACTTTAGGCCGGGCAGCGCTGTCCTGAGCAGGAGCAGTTTCTTTCCTCTTCCTTCTGGAAGAAGGAGTGGCCTCAATAGTTGGTTGCTCTACTAGAGTTTCATCATCCTCATCTTCATTGGCAATTTCTGACATGACTCGATACACGACTCAAAACCAGCACTATTAAATTTTGTAGAGCATAATGTGTCCAAATCCCCTCCTCCCCGTATGTTTTTCTTTGCCATTCAGATCCTCTCCCCGTTGATAAACACAGAAAAAGGAAGTTGGGAAAACAGGCAATACAAATGCCTAGCCAGCACTAAACATAATATTCAAAGATGTAAGGTGAAAAGGCAAAATAATTTGAAGCACAGTCACTGACATGTCATATATGGTTAACATTCATATATTGTTTTAGAAAATAAGAACCACCTTAGCAAAGCACATATGCAAAAGTTCTCTCTTTAAAATCCTAACAATTATCCGACGGCAAGTTGCGGCCATCAAATAAGGGTCAGAATCAGCACAATCTTAAAGATAGGGAGTTGCTCTCATCAATTTACAGAACTCATGTGATTCATGTCACAGTTTCAGCCACTTTGGCTTAACAGGTTTTTTCTCCGCAGGCTTCTTCTCTTGAACAACAGGAGGTGATGCCTCTGGTATTGTTTCTGGTGCAGACTCAACAGGCTCTGCATGTTTAGTGAGGAGTTCCAAACCTTTCAAAGACACGATCTCTTCCTGAAGGAAGGGACCTGACTTGGCATCTGAAGCATCATCTGCTGGACATGACAATACAATAATCAAACATTTCGCATTAGCCATTGCTATTTACAATCAAAAGATATATCATTACATCAGTGAAATAATTTTCGGGTAAAAGTTCTGATTCCTCTGCCATCACCGCAGACGGGCAACCCCATAATCATATAGAAGAGTGTCTCCATTGAGAATATTTCATTTTAAGTTATGAGACCAAAAAGCATGTGCTAACCTTTTGGCATATTATATGAAAAATACACAATTGCACCAGGAACAAAGCCAGCAGAGTAAAAATCCTGTGACGTGTCTTTTATCTGCTTCTTAGGAGTTGTAGTATCTGCATCAGTAAATGTTAGAATCTATTGCATAATCATACATGGAAAATTCAATATTTTGATTTACTCTGCATACATATGTAGAATGGTAATTCTGGTCGAGCAACTATTTTCGTGAGGAGATCAACCAAGCTCTGAACGGTTTCTGATGGATGAAAAGTGGCCTCTAATGTGTGATTATCAGGAAATCGAACCCTGATCACAGTCTGCATACATCACACATGAACTTAACAATTAGATAAAAAGCGATTATATGACTAATTAAGATTTGGAAAAGGTTTCTTTAAATGATATTCCTTGTTGAAAACATCTATTTTCTATTTAGTGGCAATTTCTAACATGACCCGAAACACGACTCGAAACCATAACTATTAAATTTTGCAGGGCATAATGTGTCCAAATCCCCTCCTCCCCGTATGTTTTTCTTTGCCATTCAGATCCTCTCCCCGTTGATAAACACAGAAAAAGGAAGTTGGGAAAACAGGCAATACAAATGCCTAGCCAGCACTAAACATAATATTCAAAGATGTAAGGTGAAAAGGCAAAATAATTTGAAGCACAGTCACTGACATGTCATATATGGTTAACATTCATATATTGTTTTAGAAAATAAGAACCACCTTAGCAAAGCACATATGCAAAAGTTCTCTCTTTAAAATCCTAACAATTATCCGACGGCAAGTTGCGGCCATCAAATAAGGGTCAGAATCAGCACAATCTTAAAGATAGGGAGTTGCTCTCATCAATTTACAGAACTCATGTGATTCATGTCACAGTTTCAGCCACTTTGGCTTAACAGGTTTTTTCTCCGCAGGCTTCTTCTCTTGAACAACAGGAGGTGATGCCTCTGGTATTGTTTCTGGTGCAGACTCAACAGGCTCTGCATGTTTAGTGAGGAGTTCCAAACCTTTCAAAGACACGATCTCTTCCTGAAGGAAGGGACCTGACTTGGCATCTGAAGCATCATCTGCTGGACATGACAATACAATAATCAAACATTTCGCATTAGCCATTGCTATTTACAATCAAAAGATATATCATTACATCAGTGAAATAATTTTCGGGTAAAAGTTCTGATTCCTCTGCCATCACCGCAGACGGGCAACCCCATAATCATATAGAAGAGTGTCTCCATTGAGAATATTTCATTTTAAGTTATGAGACCAAAAAGCATGTGCTAACCTTTTGGCATATTATATGAAAAATACACAATTGCACCAGGAACAAAGCCAGCAGAGTAAAAATCCTGTGACGTGTCTTTTATCTGCTTCTTAGGAGTTGTAGTATCTGCATCAGTAAATGTTAGAATCTATTGCATAATCATACATGGAAAATTCAATATTTTGATTTACTCTGCATACATATGTAGAATGGTAATTCTGGTCGAGCAACTATTTTCGTGAGGAGATCAACCAAGCTCTGAACGGTTTCTGATGGATGAAAAGTGGCCTCTAATGTGTGATTATCAGGAAATCGAACCCTGATCACAGTCTGCATACATCACACATGAACTTAACAATTAGATAAAAAGCGATTATATGACTAATTAAGATTTGGAAAAGGTTATGCATCCGATGATGATGGGGCAGAATTGATCCTATACAAACTACAATAGAAACAATCACTATAACAAGTAGAAAAGAAAGTCATAATAAAGGGTATAGCAACCACCTTTGTTATCCTTGGCCTGTTCTGCCTCTTTAAGCTTTCGTGTTTTAGAACCTTATCTGTTCATATTGCATTAATGAAATATAGTAAGTATAAATACCAGAAGAATACCTCCAATTGCATGTATCAGTATAAGTCTTTGAATGTGTAATTAAATTCCCAATAGTTTATCAAATTTCGTTCATGTTATTAAGTTTTTTAGAATAAAATACTTGAGGCATTGACAAGACTTCCAATAAGCAAGAAGATTATGTTTCCCATTAAAATATTCGCTAGCATATTATAGAACTTGAACACCGGCCGCTACACGGGAAAGATTATGTTTCCCTAAAATTATAAATGATATGGTTTCTGTCAATTACCTTCCTTTTTGGCATTCATAATCCGATAATAATCCTCTGCTGTAAACTCAAAAAATTCATCTGTCTCCTCTGCAAAACAAAAAATGATGAAAATAAAAAAATTTCTATCAGGCATCTCAGTGTGCTTGCTTCCACAGATAATCCAAAATATAAAAAGCTATAAGCTGAATGGTTTGGCCTAGCATAGTTGAATTGCTTCATACCAGTAATAGACTCTTCCGTGTGCGAAGAAGAAGCAGCTGACGTTTCAAAAACATGAATTTCTCTCCCGAAGTTTCTTTTGCTGCTGTGAGCTTGGCCTGAACTTTCAGTCAATCGCAGTGTTAGAAAAGTCGGCATAGGAGGGCGGCTAGGCGGGCGCTAGGCGGCTAGGCGGTCGCTAGGTGGCTAGGTAGTAGCTAGGCCGGCGCCTAGGCGGGTTGGGTCTTTTTTCGGCACCGAACCCGGAGGACGAAGCAGTGACTGCGAGAGAAAGTTCCGTCCACTGCGACTCTGCGAGTGCGAGCTTCGTGTTCGTTCGAATAATATTTAAAGAGTCTAGCCGAACGGCTGTACGTTTAAAATATTCGAATCTAATTAGAAAGTATAGCCGTCCGGCTGTACGTTTATAATTTCTATTTATACAGTCGAGCCTTGCGGCTATAATGGTAAAATATTGTATTCAAAGCTGATCGGCTATACTGTTAATATATTGTATTTACATAGTATAGCCGGGCGGCTATACTCTATTTGCAGTCCTTCCTTTATCTAGCACATCAAAATGATTGTAATTTTTCAACTACGGCAACGTCCAATTCGGACGGCAAGTGGCCGGAATTTCAAATTGAAAACCGGCCAAAACCTAAGTTTCAAATTCACGAATTTAACCTGCAAATTTATCAAAACCTATCCCACAGCCAGCTAGAACACAGAAAATGGATGAGAAACCTCACCTTACCCGTCGGAAATGGTGGTTGGAGGAGAGAGATCGAGCGGCTGGAAGTTCCAGTCAATTCCGGCCACGTTTCTGCAGTTTCCGGTGAGTCCCGAAGGTTTCCGGGGCTGTGCTGGCCGGGGAAGAGAGAGGGAGAGGCTGCGGTTCGAACGGGACCGGTCTCGTCGGACGGGGTGGTCGGAGGTGGCGGCTGTGTGGTGGTTTCTGTTCCGATGAACAGTAACTCGGGAAGGGGAGATCGCAGAAGGGGGGAAGACGCGGGAGAGAGAGAGAGAGAGAGAGAGAGAGAGAGAGAGAGGAAGTGAGGGGTAAATGTGAAAAATCAGATTTTACCCCAAACTTACTTCGAAATAATTACGGTTCTGCCACCGAACAAGTTTTGATCGCCAAAGCTTCGTTAAATCTCCAATTCAAGCCTACCGCCTGTCTACGGTTTCGTCTCAGTACCACCTACGCAACCACACCACTCATGGTCCCAAAACCTTCCCGGATACAAAATTGACCAAAATTACCCTTAACCCAAGAGTAAATTAATATTTCCTCTTAATTAAATTAAAATAGGAAAATAAATGGAGTTGGGGTGTTACAGAGTTCATGAGTTGGGATCCAATTCAAATCATGTTACCCTTCTCACTGATATGATTGAAGAGGATGAGATTCCATGTCCCCCTCCTCAACCAACACTATATATTAAGCAAACACATGGAAAATATATTGCATTAACCCCTTCTTTCAAGGTCTTCTATTCTATCTTCTCAAAATACACAACAAGAAGAAATGGCTTGCCACACTCACTCCAACAGCTTCACCTCAAGGCCACACCCGATCGTTCAAGAAGTCGATGAACATTTATGTAGATTGAGATCTTCTGAGGCCACCTCCACATCCTCCTCATCAATCAGCCACGAACTAAGTGGCCTCCAAGACTTGCATGGCTCGAGACGCATTGTTTCTAATTCTCCCTCTTTTTGTACCAAAAAATAAAAAATAAAAAAGAATTAAGTGATCACAAAAATCAGAAACTTTAGATCCTCTTAAAAAGAAAGACTAATCAGAAAATCTTAGGACAAGGATTACAAATGGGAGAATAAATGACAAAATGAAGAGATCACCATTACTACTATAAATGCAACAATGCCAAAACAAAGTCCACAAGATACTTAGAAATACAGAACATATCAAATTATTCCAAAGAACAGAACCAAACCCTCTGTTTGGTCTCCTCCTAAACCAAGGAATACAAAAAATTAATAAAAATAACAATCTCAAATCCATGCTTGTTGAAGAATTCATCTCAACATAACAACAATTTTAGTGATCTCATAACAACAACAACAACAACAACAAAAACTTGAAATTCTTGTCTTCATCCACATTTTCGTTCAAGCCAACCAAACAGAGAAAACAATACTGGAAAGGAAGTAAATATTGAAAGAATGCTGAAAATTAAAAATTTGTGTGCATTTCTTTAACTTTTTCAAGACCAGAACTATTTTTATTTTCGTCTTCTCCAGACAGTTCTTGGTCTGTTTTCATGAAGAAGTCCTTTGGTATAATTGGAGTGCTACAAGCCATGATATATATATATATATATATATGTTGCTCTCTCCCAACTTATTCCTAAGAAGTGAACAGAAGTCTTCAAACAGATGTATATATCTACACACTTGAGAAAGAAAAACAAAATTGCTGAACATCGAACCCATATAAAGGAAATGAAAATTTTATATATATAGACAAATTCCCATCATCCCATGACTAGCACAAAACTGAAATGGTATACAAGAAACCCCTCAAATATTACTCTGTGTCGAGGACAAAGATTGGTTGTTTGAAGCAGAACAGGTTCAAGGTGACTTAACCTGCATGGTGCTCATTGACAGTTTGGCAGCATCTACAGGGACGTAAGTCCATGCCAATATCTTTGTTAGTGGAGGAGTCAGGGGTACTGCCCCAAGAGTTGTGCATACCGTCATTACAATAGACAGAGGAACATCCCCTTGAGCAATTAAGGTCACCTGAAAGGCTATTTCATACAAAGCATTGAATGGAGTTGAATAAATGGCCTAGGCGGGGGCTAGACGGGCTAGGCGGGGGCTAGGCGGTCTAGGCGGGCGCTGGAGAGAGAGAGAGAGAAACGAGGATCGACGGAGTTATGTTTAGGGTTTAGAAAAGGGCCGAACGGCTATACTATATTTTAAAATAAAAAACCGTAGTATATCCCTGCGGCTATACGATTTATTAAAAAAAAAAAACCATTCTATTTGCATTAGTTTATACTTTATAGATATTAATTTGCTAGTTTTGATATATATATACTTTATAGATTTAAATTTTTGAATAGTATGTGAAAATTGGGTTTATAATACGTGAATTTTATGTGTATTATTGAAAATTTTGTAAAAAACAAGTGTATTAAACATGAAAAATACATACGTACGTGTAAAATACAAGTATTAAACATGGAAATGCTAAATTTTATATACGGCTAATAACTTTGACAAAGTAAAAACTCAAAAGGGTACAGTAGAGACTCGTGTGAAGCCCTAATAGTAATGGAAAATGTTCTAAGCTATCAATAAACAAAAATTGTGGAAAAAAGATAATAGTATCCATGTAAAGAGTATGCCGTACAAGGCTATACTCTTTATTTTTATGTGTAAAAAATCCCAAGTATAGCTGCTCGGCTATACTATTTTCAGTAGAATAATTCAAATCTGGCTCAAAACTAAGCACCACAAGATGTGCTAGAGTAAAATAGGATGTGTGACCTCAAACGACATTGTTTTAGACTATTAGTTAACAATATCTTCACATAAAAAATAAAATAGAGAATCTGAACTCCATAAATATGCCGGGAAACTTAGAAAAGGCTTTTACTGTCACTTAACATCAACTGTAAGAGACTTAATGGAGCCAAAAGGATACATATATCCAAGAACACCCAGACTGCTGTTGCCCATTGTATTCATACTCATAGCAGATATTACTGGGTTAGGGAAAACTTCGAAAGGGTGCTATAGTTGTCACTTAACCTCAACTGTATGAGTCTCCTTAGAGTCAGAAGGATCTACACATATCTCCAAAAGAATGCCAGACTGCTTCCCATTATATTCATAATCACAACAAACAATGTTGAGGGTAATGCAACCATCGGCGAGGTGAAATGAGAAGTGACCAAAACCACACCCAAAGAAGAATTTTGCATACCAACCAGCAAGTGTCAAAAATGTAAATGAAGGATTAGTGTTGCATGCCCACCAAAATTTATGAAAGTTTCAACATTTCAATCTGAGCATAAAACAATGAAGATCTTCCATGGACTTACAAGAGTTTAAGAAGAGAATTTTTATAGCTTTATTACCAATTTGACCAAAGCCGAAACAAAACTGGAACACAAGGATTCACAGAAAGCCAGATCATGTCGTAAGGTTTACATTCTATTTGATTAATACCTCAATTGATTCTTTCACAACTTATTAGATCACCCCTGGTTCACTTCACTCCCTAAAGGCAGATTAAGACTAAGGTAGGCAAGGAAAGAGATATTCAATCAACCAAGCAAATAACCGATAATGGATACTTTCATATTAGTTCAAAATAAAGGTCTTCCTCTGGGGGCAGGCAGACCCTCTTTTATTGTATTGCTGCCATGCGTAAGAAAGAGATAATGGTGATTGCTGAAAAAACTCGGACTTAGGGAACGAAGACACAGAATTCCATAGATAGAAGGACGAAATGAACCAACCCACTTGTGCTGATCGGAACGATTGAAGAAAGGAAGAGAATGGCGGCCCCTTTCGCCCCACACCTCACTATGTTGAGGGTTTAAGTTGCCTAAGCAACAAGAGGGATAAACCTGCTGATATATACCTGCAAATTAAGACTCACCTTGATCAAAAAAGACTCCTCAAGTTGCACATTTGCACCGCAAAAACTCCAAAACAAACTAAACAAACATGCCCAGCACCACAACCTTAAAGAATATTTGTATGAGTGCAAACTCTGCCAACAATGCTCGTATACAAAACTAGCTTCTGTCTTCATATGTCAAATTAAAATCCACATAGACAGAGAAGATTGAATATATACTTTCTTACTGCAAAAGCTTTTATGGCTATGAAGTCATTATGACAGCAAACTATAGTGTCTCAACTGTTGCTTACAAATTATGAGTACTTTCTTTTTTCAAATTATGATTAACTTCACTCAATAATTTATATATCAAACTTGACAGAAGCTAAATCAAATAGCAATAATACACTAATACAAGGCTACAACGCAATTTTTTTTAGAATTTTTGAGCTAAAATTAGAGTGAATCTTTACATACTGAAAACAATGTATACATTACCTTGAGCTTTTGCCACAACAACACACCTAACAATTAAAGTCACCAACAGTTAAAGGCAACCCCACAAAGAAACCGGCAATATGTACTAACAGCACAGAAAGAATAACCACCCCAACTTCTCCAGATCACACTGTCTCAGTATGAGCCATTAGAGAGAGATCAGCCGGCAATGTTACAGCAACCATTGAAGCTTTGAGACAGACAACATTCTCAGAGAATACACTGGCCCACAAAATAAAATATAGTATGTTTGAGAAAGAGAGCACATTTGGAAGGAACCACAAGCAAGACAATCATATAAGTAATTAAAAATATATTTATATGCACAACAAATGTACCTGCATGCAAGCAGTGATGCAGCTAGCTAGAACAGCAAAAAGTGGTGCAAAAGGTATCACAATTTTAACCACTGCAGGAAATGCACTCTGCATATAAGAACCTAAGAAAATTGGAGCAACAACGTTAACGACCTACAGATGACAGAATAGAGACAATAAGCCCCAGCTGATGGATAATATAATATTACTGAAGTTTCTTATATTTAACTTAACCTGCATGGTGCTCATTGACAGTTTGGCAGCATCCACAGGGACGTAAGTCCCTACCAATATCTTTGTTAGTAGAGGAGTCAGGAGTACTGCCCCAAGAGTTGTGCATACCGTCATTACAATAGACAGAGGAACATCCCCTTGAGCAATTAAGGTCACCTGAAAGGCTATTTCATACAAAGCATTGAATGGAGTTGAATAAAGGACCTAGGCGTGCGCTAGGCGGGGGCTAGGCGGGCTAGGCCTGAGCTAGGCCTGAGCTAGGCGGGTTAGGCGGGCTATGCGGGGGCTAGGTACGGTCTAGGCTGGGGCTAGGCGGGCGCTAAGCGGTCTAGGCGGGCGCTGGAGAGAGAGAGAGAGAGAAAAAGAAAGAAACGAGGATGACGACGAAGTTATGTTTAGGGTTTAGAAAAGGGCCGAACGGCTATACTATTTTTAAAATAAAAAACCGTAGTATAGCCGTGCGGCTATACGATTTATTAAAAAAAAACCATTCTATTTGCATTAGTTTATACTTTATAGATATTAATTTGCTAGTTTGATATATATATTTAAATTTTTGAATACATATTATTTTTATTGAATTGTATGTGAAAACTGGGTTTATAATACATGAATTTTATGTGTATTATTGAAAATTTTGTAAAAAATAAGTGTATTAAACATGAAAAATACATACGTACGTGTAAAATATGAGTATTAAACAGGGAAATTGTAAATTTTTTATACGGCTAATAACTTTGGAAAAGTAAAAACTCAAAATGGTATAATAGAGACTCGTGTGAAGGCCTAATAGTAATGGAAAATGCTCTAAGCTATTGATAAACAAAAATTGTGGAAAAAAGATAATAGTATCCATGGAAAGAGTATAGCCGCGCAAGGCTATACTCTTTATTTTTATGTCTAAAAAATCCCGAGTATAGCTACGCGGCTATACTATTTTCAGCAGAAGAATTCAAATTTGGCTCAAAACTAAGCACCACAAGATGTGCCAGAGTAAAATAGGATGTGTGACCTCCACATCATCAACATCAATCAGCCACAAACTAACTGGCCTTCAAGACTTGCATAATTGTGTTGATGGGTTGCTTCAGTTGCCCCTCACTCAACAAGCCTTGGCTCAAGAGCATAATGAGAAATCGACTAATGAGCTATTAGATGGTTCTCTCAGGCTTTTGGATGTTTGTAGCAGTGCCAAGGATGCCCTTTTGCAATCCAAGGAATGCGTACAGGACCTTCAATCGATCATGCGAAGAACACGAAGAGGTGAATCTGGAGCACTCACAACTGAGGTCAGGAAGTACTTGACCTCAAGGACGATGGTGAAGAAGGCAATCCACAAGGCTATGGTAAATCTCAAGGGATCCAGTTTCTCATCCCTCAGCAAGGACAATGAGACTATTGCCGTTGTTAGAACGTTGAGAGATATCAAGGCAGTCACTCTCTCAGTGTTTGAATCACTCATGTCCTTCATCTCTGGTCCAAATTCAAAGTCTTCTGTTCTATCTTCTCACAATGCACGAAGAAGAAATGGCTTTCCACACACGCTCTAATAGCTTCCCTTCAAGGCCACACCTGATCGTTCAAGAAGTTGACGAACATTTGTGTAGACTGAGGTCTTCTGAGGCCGCCTCCACATCTTCTTCATCATCAATATGCCACAAACTAAGTGGCCTCCAAGACTTGCATGATTGTGTTGATAAGTTTCTTCAGTTGCCATTACAGAAATTTCATAAGAGAATTTCCATGCTTCAGCTGCAGTAGATAAAGGAAAAAGACATTACCTCATGAACCAAAGTGGTTACCATGACAGTACAGACATTGCCATCGACATTAACTCTATGACGCCTAACTTTCTCCAGTAACTGCTGCATACACTTAGCAGGATGAAGTTTGAAATTTTTGCTACCACATTGATTATAACAAAATCTCTCCAGATCGATTCACGAACACCAGGATGCCTAACTTTTACGGCAACTACTATGGGCTTCAGCTGTTGACCAGCTCCATGCACTTGAACAATACTTCCAGATGCTATTGGTTTCTCTTCAAAATTATCAAAAATCTCGGCGAGCTTGCGGCCAAACGTTTCGTTCAATAGTTTTCTCCGTGTAGGCAAAGCTATGTTCAGGAGCTTTGGTGTGAAGCTCTGAGAGCTTGGTGATAAAGAAAGAGCGCCAACTACAAACAATTAGACGAATTCCAGTGTATCACCACAAATTAAAGGCGATTGAATCATCAGGAAAAAAAAAACAATAATAATAATAATTAAAAAAAAGGGGCTTAGGCGGCCTAGGCGGGTCTGGGCCTTTTTTGTTTTTTGTTTTAATTTTTAAGATTTTTATTTTCCAGGTTAAATTTTAATGCTTTTTTAACCCCTGTACGTAGTAGATATTTTAAAAAAATCTTTAAATGATATTCCTAGTTGAAACCATTTATTTTCTATTTAGTGGCAATTTCCGACATGACCCGACATAATTATGTTCTCATGATTTAAATGCGTAATTTTACCTGAACAAGACAGTTCTGGGCTTTGTGCCCCAATGCCACTTGCCAATAAGCCTAAAAACCCTGGTAGAAATGGAGGTGAAGTTGAAAATTAGGAGTCCATTTCAGATGCTGACCTTGATAACATTGTTGCTAGAGGTATTGTGACTTATGCAAGCATCTTTTTACATGCATGGAGCTTGCTCCTGAATAGAGCTGAAAAATCACCAAGGAAGTATTGTATTTCAGGAAATGGATCCTCCAAGCACACTTTAGTGTGAACTTCGTCCATACCAGAAGCAGGCTCTCCATTGGATGATCCAACTGGAAAAAGGACAATGCATCGATGAGGGAGCAATGACTCTTCACCCTTGTTGGGAGGCATATCGTCTTGCAGACAAGTATGTTGGGCTGTTAACCTTGGATTATGCTATACCTTATGTTTCAATATTTATTGGGGTGTTTTGCATATAGGAGAGACCGTGTTATCTATTTGAATGCGTTTTCTGGGGATTATCAGGTAGTCACCCTACAAGCCAGTCCTCCAGTGAAGATATTGAAATTAGTGACATTTCAGACCATTCCCCATCAAACCTACCAAAGAAGGTCACAAGCTTTTCAGGATTTGATAAGTTTATGAAGCGAAAAAACACCCTTGCAGATGATGGCAGTTTGATTATATGTCCTATGACTCTTCTAGGCCAGTGGAAGGTAGTTTTTGTCACTTTGAAGAACACCAATTGTAGTTCTGCATACTTAAACCTGCTCTGAAAGTTGGTACTGGCGCCAGTATCAGAGTGTTACGTGCACAGTGATAAGGATTCTATATTTGGGAGTTAATATAAACATTTGAGTTTGTTGTCAGGCAGAGATTGAAACTCATACGCAACCTGGATCTTTATCGGTATATGTTCATTATGGACAAGTAGTAGGCAGAAGGATGCAAAACTTTTGGGTCCATGTGATGCCCGGGATCAAGTTTCTGCTGCCATCGCTGCAAAACATAACTAGTGAGATTTGCATGAAATCAGTTATTGATGACCACACCAACGATAATATAGAATTGGAGCAAATTGCCTCTCATATTTGTAAAAGATATCAATTCGGCTACTCATGGTAAACCTATTATGATACAAAAAACTATCACGTTTGTTTTTCTGAGACAATAAAATTAAATTTATAAAGAGACGAGAAAGGAGTAAAGGATATGGCCAACAGACAAAAGCAGATAAACAAAACGAATATATTGTGAAAAGTTTCTATTTATAGCGTATAGCCGATCGGCTATACTGTTACAATATTCTATTTAAAGGGTATAGCCGCTCGGTTGTACAGCTAAAAGTTGCGTATAGCCGGTCGGCTATATGTTTAAATATTCTATTTATAGAGTATAGCCGACCGGCTATATGATCACGTGTATGGCCGGGCGGCCGTACTATTTGAATATAATATTTAATGAGTATAGCCGAGCGGCGGTACCATTTAAATATAATAATGAGTATAGCCGAGCGGCGATTTAAATATAATAATTAAATAATACAGCTCGACTATACTCTTCAAATATTAGAATGGCCGTTTCCCCAAGTGCTTAAAGCATGGAAGATAGCCTTTTCTGTATTTCTCGGACCTTCCCATGTTTGGATGCCTCCTCTTTTGCAGTCCTTCCTTTATCTAGCACATCAAAATGATTGTAATGTGACTAATAAATTCATAAAAGTAAAAATCAAAAAGAAATTTTCAGTCGAAAAACAGATGCAACAATAACTCACGAGGTTTCTTTGCAGACCTCCCAGTTCCCCTTTCACCTGTACAACCATTGGCTGGCCATACTTTTGCAGAATGATTAGAACCACCATAGTCCTAGGAACAAAAACAAATGCAACAGCCAAAAAAATTGAAGAATAAGTTTCTAAAACAATTAGTCCAAAATGAATAAGTTAAACACAAATTTATAATGTTACTGGTTCAAATGCATTCCTGGAAATTAATGAAGTCCTCCCGTGGGGATAACAGACAAGTCCAAATAAGGAAGTGATCTACCTAAATGAGGGGTTTCTGTTGCTTTAGGATCAGCACTTGATAAAACTTGAGCTTCATCTCTTATCAATGCATGGGTTTTTCCTGGTTTACATAGAGTTGCAGCTACAGAAGAGGAGTCTCTAGTATCACTACTTTTTCTTAAATGATTCGTGCAAAGAACTTCATGATGTAGTACAGCCCGTAGGTATTAGATTAAGCATCCAAACAATAGAACATAGAAGAGTATAAGAGATCGAGGAGACGAAAATATAGATCGAAAAGACGAAAGAAAGGGTAGAACAGTAGAACAGTAGAACAAGAAGAATATTGGAGGTTGGGGAGACGAAAATATAGATCGAAGGGATGAAAGAAAGGACAGA